GGGGGGGGGCCTTACAAGATTTTGCTATGGGGCCCTGTGATTTCTAGTTAAGCCCCTGATATTAAATATTGGAAAAACAGGCTTCTTTCAACTGATTCACCTTAAAGTGAATGGGTGTCTTTTATGTGTCTTAGGAGTCTGGCTAGGACTTTGAATTGCTACAAATGCAATGAAAAAGACTGTCAGGATGCAGCTTGCAGTAAGTGCAAATAATGCCCCTTTGCTGTGTTAACTTTACCAGCTCCAAGTGATTTTCTTTTGTGTCACTCTCTAGCCAAACAATGAAACTTCCTGTTCACTGAAACACACACGGTCTGGAACTCAGAAAGAGATTTATTCCCCACAAAAACAAACATTAAAATAACAAGCAAAATATAAAAAATGATATACAAACTTTTGGTGATAATGGAAATAGCTCTTTAATACGAGATCAAAATTGTTTTCAGCTTTAATTTAATACTTTTAAAACAGATGCCTTGATACTGTATAATTACATTCTAGAATGTAATGAATAGAAAGATGCCATGTACAAAGCATTGCTAAACCCTGATGTACCAAACGTATACACATAGACTGATATAAACGTATAAAAGCCAAAAGAGATAGAAAAACTGAATTGACATCAAAAAGTATAAACTGAGGGAAGAGTGCTGAGACTGAGGAAGCGGTTTACAGACAAAAACTCTAGTGGCTTCACACTTTTGTCTGTTAAAAATGATGTTCCACTTACCTTGCACATTGAGGGCCTCCTTGTCCCATGGCCAGATGGCTGCTCCAGCTAACTCCTCCCCTGCAGAACCAGCAAAAAAAATGTTCAGGAACAAGGTGTTGTTCAACTGCAAGGCTTCCTTCAGTTCTTTCACACTCATGTAAGCCCTATTAAGGTGACAAAAAGGAGACAAACTAAATAATCAAAGCATTTTTTTATAATAAACACCTCTTTATATATATATATATTTTAATTGAAAAGAATCAATCTGGTATCTTACTAACAATTAAAAAGGGCTTAGAGCCAAAACAGAACAATTCCATTAGCATTGGAACTTCCATATAGGGGAAAAGAGTTTGCTATTAAAAAAAAATGACACTCTCACAATTTAAATGCTACTCTAAGGCCTCATTCACACACAACGCAAGAGCAAAATTGTATAATGCGTATATATGCGTATATGCGAGTATGTACGTGCGTATATGCGTGCACTATATGCAATCCCAGAATGCATCACTCGTAATGGAATTTTTAATGTGATGTACGCATGTGCGCGTAGATACGCGTATATGCATGTAAACACGCTCATGTGCGCGTAAATACGCAGCAATACGCTGCCCGGACGCATCTCTGTTCCATTCTGTTTTTGCACATATATACGCTACGCAAATATACGGCTTCATACGCGGCTATGTGTATGGAGCCATTTACTTCCATGTGTTGCATATGGTACAATATGCATGTACGCGCGTATATGCGAGGCAGTGTGAATGAGGCCTTACGGTCCTAAAATAGTACCTGTACAGAAGGAGAAATAGACTAGAATTCTACAATTTATATCTACCAACCATCCTGATTAGGATGAGACACAATTTCCACGCAAGAAAACTGGAACGGTTTGGCTATGGACACACTTGGGTCATATTAGGACAAAGCCTAAATGTATCATACTGTAAACTCTTGGTATCCATTTATGCTCTAGCGACAAAAACATATATTAATAGTAGAGGTAGAATGGTAACATAGACCCAACAAATACCCCTTTTTTTTTTTTAAAGAGTCAGGGAAATGAAATATGCATTAGTGAGCAGAGATCACAAAAATGCACCCCCTAGTTTTAATTTAACAATTAACTCAGAGTCTCATCCCAAGTGAGGCATACAGCTAAATATATACACCTTCTGGATTACTGCCTCTTGCACATGATACAGGTCACATTTGCACTTTCTTCCACCCAGTATGCAAGGGTCAGGAATGACTAATATGTTAAGTGGCCATACCTAACTAAGAATGTTAAAATTCTTCAAACAGCAATGTCTTTATCTCATTATTGGTAGTGTCTTGTATATGTATAACAGTTTTTAGGCATGTTTGCAAATATTTGACACATGTTTCATCTCCACTGTTCACTACATAGACAAGTATATCAGGACTGGTAGAAAAAAGAAAAGTTTAAAGGTCAGATCAGGTTTCCAGAAGTAGATTTACATAGTCAGAGACAGTCTTAATTCTTCTTTGCCAAGCCTTATGGAAAGCATCATGTCCTACTCAGCTAAGTGTACAGAGCACTAGGAACACTACTTGTATAATTCAATGAAGCCTAAAAACAATGGACAGAATTTTAGTTCTTTTATTAGGCTACTATATGTGCCACAAGGGTAGCAAATGCTTGAGTATTCTCTGACAGTCAATAAACACCTACCATAAAGCATAAACTTCAAACTACCGAAGAAAGATATTCCCAAAAAAGTTATGCACAGACATCTACTGTATGTTTGTATTGGCTGAGCATGCATGCCCCGTACAATAAGCTAACATTCCAAACTCCATCTTTTTCTCATGGATCAGCAGCAAGTGACTTTAAAATGTATCTTAGCCAATTTAATTTTCTCCCAGAAATGACTGCCTCGTTGTGGCTGTTCTTATGTTCTTATGTGAAGTTGTCCATAGACCTTGTGGCTGATGGTCCATCCAAGATCATGAATGTTTGGGCATTAATCATCTGATGCCTATACAAGCCAATTTTTTATAGGAGATAGCTGATGATCACCATTGGTCACCTATAAATGATTTTCTAATTTTGTGGACAGGAAACCACAATGTTCTGCATGCCCATATGCAACTGTGAGTTAGGTGAACAACTTTAGTGAGCATCTTTAACATAACATTGCTTTAGGTTTCCAAAACAAAGCACAATTTTCACTAGTAATGCATCTCATAAAGGGATTCGGCTATGTGGGGGTTCCTTATAGTGTGATAATGGGCTATTCTGAGTATTTAAATTGTTCAGAAATTCTTTGCATGAACAGAATCAGATCACACCTTTGTCTATGGAGAAAAGCAAACACGACTTTAACAGTGTATGCACCTTATTCACACATCTGCCAAGTAGGACAATGTGGAGGAGTGATCAAATGCAGAAAAACAATTCACTATCCATCATTGTCAGCGGGATACTGGGCCATACATGGCTTGCTTTTGGATTCAGATGTCATACGACGTCAAGCAAACATTTAGAGCTATTGCCTTGTTTGCTGTTACTCAATGCTTTAGTGTATTTTACAGTTATTTTCTCCTCTTGAGCTAGACAATGAGGTTAATATGAGCTACATTCACTTTGCTAGTAAATACCCTCAAACACCCATGGTGTGGTTATTGGCAAAAATGCTACAGAGCTCAGACAGCTTCATCAATTGCTGGTTGATGCCAGCAAGCCTCATTAATTCAAAAGGTAAAAAGCAGGATTTCAGTTTCATAGCGAGAACATTGCACAGTCTGCAGCTCTGTCAGAGATAAGTGGATTCTGGGTGCACAGGGTACGTGCTAATATACTTTGTGTTCAGGATTAAAAGCAAGCAAACTTTGGAAATAGATTAACAATGTGACACACTGGAGTGCACCGAAGGCTTTCTGCATTTATCTGTTAAATATAAAGACATTTGATTTTTGTTTAAGCGTTGATCAGATTCACGATAAAGCTTCTATATCAGTCTATTATTAAGGTGCTCCTACATGTTCTGAATATTGGACAGATGAGGCTGTTTTCAAGGAAAGCTAAACTGGGTTTTAGGGAGTGCACCGTTTATTTCTGTAATGTGTACCTGAATGCAATGTTTGATGTACTTATTTCATTTTCCATGCTTGCTATTTCATAACATTAAGTAAATGTTGGTAGTCAGGTCACTGCTGTTCTCTCCTTGTGAAGGATATGCAGTCTTGTATCCACCCCCACCTACAGTTTATTGCAGGCAGCCTGTAGTGGAAGAACCTGATGGGTACCTTTCACAGCTCTGTTGTCTGCACAGTAAGGATTCTAATGCTATGTTTACAAGGTAATTTTCCAGTTTGCAAAGACATATGGTGCACACAAAGATGATGTATATTCTTTGTGGATGTTGAGAAATATATTTAAAGTATTTATGCGTGGAACATGAGATCCTGATGCCGGAGCCACCAAAAATCATCCCATAAGATAATATGTGCATTTAACATATTTTTGCGTGTTGTTTTTTTTTAACCTGTAAAAGCCTTCCTTGTGTAAGCGTCCAAAAGCCTTTAGGCTGCTGTTAGACTTAGCCATCTTGGATTTGATGTTAGCAGCCCCGGTAGACTCAAGCTATCACTAAAATTACGATATAGCATTTCCCTTTACTCCTCCTCACATACAGAGGTAAAAAGAAGGGAAGCTTAGCCAACACAGAGAGTAATTAGACAGAGCCAGAAGAGGGGAGCGCTATAATGTGCAAGGAAGGAGGGAACTATGCTAGGGAACTGACTCTTCCCAGAGTAGGTAAACTTGAAAATTCTAGCAAGTTCAAAAGCACATTGCAATTTAATTAAATAACTTAGGGAAAAGAAAATACTGCAAGTAGGGATTTACAATACTTTTACAATATTTTTCGAGTTAGTGACATGGTCTCTTTAAAGACTTTTGAAAGTCTAGGGTTCGCCTAAAATTAGCCTTTGAGGATACCACAAATTACTTATTTTAAAAGTTTAAAGTTCAGAGACTGTCATCTTTAAGCTAGTTTGATACCTAAAGAATTAGTGACCTGGGATAAGTAGGCAGGATGAGTGTGTAGATTTTTAGACTCTTTATTGACTTCATGTTTGTTCCAGGCCAGCGGCCCACTAGGTACTGCAGCCAGAATTAGGATGACAGCATTGGAGCATAGAGCTTTTAAAACAAGTAATCAATGTTAGCTCCCATATTTCTATTTTCACAAAATCCCTGTAAAGAGTAACTTTGTCCTTTTTTGTAAATCAATCCAGTACTTTCTTCTCCAAAGTTCACATCTTAAAGTGTGCATATCAACCTCAATATAGAAAACTGTATATATTCTGTGAAACCCAAGTAAAAATAAAACCGGTCTACTAAACTAGACTTAAAGTGACACTAAACGCAGGAGTTAAATCTTAAACATGCATTGAAGTACCGTAACTATTAACAAAACTGTGAGTTTATTTGTGCATCATTCGGCTGTAGATCCTCAAATCATCTCTGAATTGGTGCTGACACTGTCCTTCCTTCTGGAGGGTGGCTACTTTTGTTCCCTGTGGTCCTGTTGTGTGTTGTAATATAGCCTCATCTCCAAGCTCACTCCCTTGATAGACTACAATCCCAAAACAAATTGGTAAACTAAACATGAGATTGTAGTCCATCACGGGAGTGAGCTTTGAGTGGTGGCTACTTTATAACACACACAGGGACCATGGGGAACAAAAGTAGCCACCCTCCAGAAGGAAGGACAGTGTCAGCACCAATTCAGAGATGATTTGAGGATCTCCAGCTGAGTGATGCACAAATAAACTACATTTATGTTAATAGTTAGGGAGCTTGAATGCATTTTTAAGATTTAACTCCTGAGTTTAGTGCCACTTTAAATATTCTGCACATGTGTTAGTAAATTATTATTATTCCCATAAATACGGTTATCAACAAAATACTTTCAATGGTTACCTTGTGAATTCTATTAGTACCACTGTCCAAAATAAATACAGAATCATGTTTGACATTTGTGTGTTGTTATAAATCATTGCTATGGTGCTGAATACTGTTAGATCTTTATAGCAGGAAATAATAACATGTTATATCTTGGACTGCACTTTGGTTACCATTAAGGATTAGGGTACCGTATATCTTTTATAGCCCTAACTTTATGTAACC